TTGAGTCCACCTTCACCCCGCCAAAACTGGGACACTATTAGAGGTACCACTAGTGGAGGTACCACATGGTACCACTATAGTGGGAGTATGGACTCGTTGATGTTTTGGTGGGGATGGACCTGACATCTCCCATCTCAAGTGCCTGAGCATGGGGCGTCCTACGGAGAGGGAGGGGGGAGCGGAGCAATCCCCTAGGACATGAAAAGCAAATGTTAAAGATGAAATGGGAGATCTGCTCCTGGCAACTTTGGATGCAAAACTGTTATGTTATGTTATGTTGTATGATCTCCTTATATGTATATATTTTAAAAGAACATATAAACTATAGGCACAAAGGCAATAGAAGTTATATATATAGTTATTGTTGCATCCCTTGAACCATTCCTTGAACATCGCAACCTTTCCTTCGACTCTTTTGAGACCCGATCCGCAGCCGCACGCAGAGCACTTCAACCGGGTCACGGTAGGCGACGGCCATCTTCACAGGCACATAGATCACCTGCATGGCTCGATTGACTCGGCATCGCCGCATCAGAAGTGCCATTTCCGTCACGCACGGATGGCACTCCCATCCAGCGCTCCCGAATCCAGCGCACGGATGGCTGTGGGATGTGTGGGATGTGTGGGTGTGAAGCATCAGCCAGTCTCACTCGCTCAGCCTCCTTCGGCTGTCCTTCCCACGGCTCGGCGGTGCATCTGCGGCCCAGTTGATCCGAGAGGCGATGGTGAGCCAGAAGAACCACGGTATCAGCAATGCTTTCAGCCATTCAGGGCCTAGGTCTTGGTGTTCCACCGAAAAAAACGAAGAAAACGAACGCATCTCGGGTGAAGAGGACTGAGGGTTCACAGAGAAGAATTTGCAAAGAACGAGGTTCACATGGCAAATAAAAATTGCCGAGTGATTCTGAGTTATTACTTAGAACCCGTATATCATAGACATGGTTCTTCTTACTCTCCAAGAAAGAGTCCTCACGTCAGATCGCCACGAGTACCGCTCATTGCATGCGGTCAAGACTCCCACCACCGATGCTGAGACATTGGTCATACCAGAAAGGAGAAGGCCTCGACGTGGAACATGGCCCATCGAACCCAAACCGTCGCGCGAACATCGAAATCCACCGAAGACATGCAGTTCGCTGACACGGATGGGTCTACGACCTCGATGTGCCAAACGATGCCCAGTTTCTCCAGACCTCAGGTCTTCCAGACCCTGTTTCGCTCGCTGACCGGTGCACCGGTGCACCGGCGAGCACCGACCAGAAATGGATCTGAAGGATCACAGCCAAGCTGATCCTTTAGAAAGTCCGCGCGCGGTGCGCCTGGAAACCACGATGGATCAGGCCACAGGCCCTTCCTCCGCAGTCAGGCTCTTTTCGTCGGTCGGTTGCTCGTTCGATTTGCCTGAAACATCTGGTTTCGCCCCACAAAAGGTCACCATGGACGTTACGACCTGGGACTGGAGCCACGCTGACCGTCACCGAAACGGAACCGACAGCTGCCCAGTCCAGGACAGTCCAACGTCCTCCAGTTCAGCAAAGCAAAGCGCCCAGCGGTGAAGAGCAAGAGACAGTGGCAAAAGAGGATGATCAGCCTCGGCACTGCTTCACGCACTCTTCACTGCTTCACCCTCTCCGAGAGTGCCGAACGGAGTGGAAGGGTCGGGGTTTCGGACGGCTGGAGGGTAGGCCGCCCCATGTCCGATCCAACCCCCCAAAAGCCAACGCTGGCCGGCACCCAAGAAAGACCAGGCATCGCTTCACTTAGATCAGTAAAGACATGTGAAAGCCCCAAAAAGGCTTGGAAGAAAGAACACATGTTCTCCCCATAAAGAACATGGAATGCGGGTCATTGTTTGCTCCATCTCGACGTGAATGTCCTAACCGCCCGCCAGTTCCTCAGGCGCAGGCTGGGTCGGCCATAAGCCCAAGATCTGCTCCTGCTTCAGTCGCAAGGCCAAGACCTGAACACGGGGTCACCGCGAACGAGAACGCGCCGCGCACGTGCATGCGCCGCACACGTGAACGCGCCGCACGTTCGTCCAAGGCTGTGGGTCAAGACACATATCCCCAAACCAGCATAGGTTGACCTCCTTAATAGTCCTTTCTGTGCATTTTTGGTGGTCAACCCAGGTAGCCGGGTTTTGACCCACAGCCTGTGTTCGGACCAAAAATCCATGGCCAGAGGGTCGAAAACTGGGAGACCGGCCGGTTGACCGCCGAACATGAACAGAATAGATCAGAATAGAATAGACTGCAAGGAGGCCCCTTGGGTTTTTGACCCATGGCCCACAGCCACATCAGGTTTCACTCGATAGATCTGTTGCCAGATCCAAATGGGTCAAAAGAAGATGCCGAGAAAACACTCCGCAATGTTTTGACACCAATCTGTTGCCAGTTGGCCCTTCACAACTTCCGCAACTGAACATCTTCTTTTAGACCTCCACTGTGGTCACTATAAACCACTCCGAGACATTCAACAGACGGAAAAAGCAATGGAAAAACACAACAAAACATCCTCGCCAGAAAAAAAAACAAACATCAAACACCAAATCCAAAGTATATGCAATCAAACAACAAATTAAAAGTAAAGCCAAAAAGCGCTCCAACCCATTCTCCCCGTCTCCCACCTGCGCCGCTGCTGGCGCCGCACCCAGCGCCGAGACCGTGGCCGACACAGAGGCATCGCGCAAGAGCGCGTCCGGCCGCAGCACGGCCTGACGCGAGGGGCGGACCAGTTGAGATGGGATCGAATTACTCATACCTTTGAGAAAAAGACTGGAAAAAAGAAGATGTAGGAACCAATTCTCTGTGAAGACGAATCCCAGTGGGATCCCAAGTGTTTTTGTGAAAGATTGTGAAAGATTGTGAAAATGGTAAATTTGCACTAACATGCACTAACCATCAGCTGCGTTTTGACGCAGTCTAGAGTCTATGTGCATGGGTGTTCGCCCAAAAGTATCCAAAGCATCACTGTTTTTGGTGATTTGTGTTGCCAAACAAGACAAAGAACCACATCGTCTACTGAGAGTCTACTCGGCGTCCAAACTGGCTGTTGACCCGCGAATCCTA